TAGCCTCAAAATACAAGAACACTTGAACGCGTGTTAAGGACACATATACATATAACCCGCTGGAGTAAATGGATATAACGTGGGGGGGTGTGTGTGTGTGTGTGTGTGTGTGTATTATTGTGTCTGTGTGCATACCCATGGAGTAGATGGCTACCCGGTCGATGCCTCTGTCCTCTGCCTGGAGCTGTTGCAGGAAAACTCCCACACAGTCGCTGAGAGGCTTGAGGGTGAACTGACAGCGCTCTCGCCTGGACGGCAAACTGACTGAGATCACCGGCAGCCCGTTCTGATACACCACTGTCACCTCTGTGAGGGAGGTTGCAGGCGAGAAAATGAGAGTCAGACAAATGTCACAAAAGCAGAAAATGTATGACGACAGCCTAAGGTCTTAACTGAACCATGGAAACGAGCTTTTATGTGCTCGTCTCCCTCTGATTGAAGTAACTGAACATTTAATAAGAACGCAGAAGAAGAAGTTTATTTTGTTTGTTTTGCTCAACACTAGTTAGTTTTAGCATTTTCTGCATGACCAGCTCTTAAACAAATACAGAATCACAAATTACTCACTCATTCTGTCTAACTTGAACTGACCCAACACTGCCCACAACAGCACCACAGAACATTTTAGGCTCCGATATTCTGACGGTGTTACGCTAAAATCAACCTTAAAGCGGGAGGAGTGCGGTTTAAGACCCAGCAGGGGGCAGTGCAACAGCAGCTCCACCTGTCAGAGGAGTTCAACAACAAAACTGCCAGACTCAGAGAACTGAGGGTGGCAGCAGCCCTGGATTAATGCACATCCTGAACTCAAACACTTCACAACAGTCTCTATTGATTTACCATCAAACACTATGATCAATACTTAAGTTATAATAAGTTATTAAAAGTCAGTTTACTCTTCTGTGACCTCACCATTGTAAACACCGCAGACAGCAACTACAGCACGGCAGGTGAAACAGAAGCCAACTCAAGAGCTATTTGTAGATCCACTGTGAATTCTGATTCGGTTCACCTCCACATACCTGCTGACTGCTGCTTTGCCAAAATAAGCCCTTGTTAGACTGTGAGTCAGACCCTGAGAATCTATACCAGTGGTTCTCAAAGTGGGGTCCGGGGACCCCCAAGGGTCCTTGAGGGGGTTCCTAGGGGTCCCCAGCAAAAAGGGGAACTATTTATTTTCACTTAATTCCATCCATAAGTAACACAATCAGAGAATGCATGACTATTTTGGTCATGGGTTTCAAACACTTTCTGTAATAAAACATCTAAAAGCAAAAATCCTCTCAGGTGGGGGTCCGTGGTCTAATTTGTGTCAGTTCAGGGGTCCTTGACGTGACATAGTTTGAGAAACCACTGATCTATAGGGCATAATATTGCTAACCTTCTCCTCACAGAACAGTTGTGTTGATTCATTGATGCCAACTACTGATATTTCTTATTCGCATATAAAGTCTAAAAAGACCTCTAAGAGATGCCTGTGTGGTGGAACTGACAATCCAACACACACCTTCAGGTAAAAATCACAATGTATTCATCCCTTGAAAGGTTCGGGCTTTTCATAGCAGCGAAAAAAAGAAAGTGTACTAAGGGTTGACAGAATTCACTTCCAACACTATTTTGAAATTGCTGCTCCACACAGCTTATACCATTATCATGCTGAGTGGCCTCTAATGACAGAGCCATGAATCAACGCAGAGAGCGGCGAGTACACACACACACACACACACACACACACACACACACACACAGGAGGGAGATCCAAGCTGCTGCCTTGTTGCTGCTGCACCCGACAACCTCTCCCTCCTGCTCAGGACCACTGCAGTGAATCAGCACATCTCTGCTTGGGCTCGCACCAAGAAGTGGTGAAATCATCGGCAGCACAAACTGAGCTCTTTTTTTTTTTTGACCATGTTCAAACACAGACACTTGCAGACATTTCATTCTGCTTCTTCTGTCGTTACAGTGACAATATGAAACTTGGCCCCAAGTATGTGAGCTGTCCTCCTCCTGCACCTGTTCTCTTTGTCCTCCTTCACCCTGGCATCACAGGCACATTGCTGAAGGCGTGAGGATCCTGTGCCTATCTCCGATCCAAAGCTACAGCTATCAAAGCTCGCTTTAAAATCAAATCAACTTGCTGCTGCCTTCTCCTCTCAGTCCCCCTACCTTTCTCTTCCTCCCGCTGTTCACGCTCGCCATCCCCTCCTGCCTCTCACACAGACGAGCAGATGCTACCCCGAGACAGATTCCATATTAATGACTACTGCCTGTTAACTCCAAATGAGCCTCTCCTGTCTGATCGATGCAGAGTTTCTCAAAGGCGCAGATGTCCTTTGTCTTGGAAGAGGGCAGAGGCTGGATTTGGGGCTTTCTTTAAAAAGGGGGAACCATTAATACGGGTCTTATGGTCAGAAATAAACTACTATGAGGACTTACCTTCTGGAGCAGCGGTTGAACACAACAGTCTCTGGCCATGCCATGAGGGGCCGCCCCTCCAAACCTGCAGACAGGAAGAGAAAGGGTAACAACCTGGTTATTCCACATGTACACGGCGCTCTTTTATCAGCCAGTGTGCGACACTCAGCAACATGACGCTACCCTAATCTATGCCATTCACTTCTCTCGTTGTGTATTTGTGAGACTGACCGCTTATTACGTTACAAAATGGCGTCCTCTGTTCCAGTTTCTGGAAATGTTCCAATGTACAGACTGGAGCCACACCCAAGAAGCACAGATTAATGGATCTAACTGATCCAACTGCAGCTTCCCAGTCACAGAAATACTCTACAACGGCCTGACGCATAAAAACACACACACACACACACACACACACACACACACACACACACACACACACACACACACACACACACACACACACACACACACACCGGGCCTCTAATATCCCATCTAAATACACCAGCATCCAGACACAGAAACCACCACTTGGAGAAAAACGCCACAGTGGGAGACACAGAAAGAAGGCAGCAGCCACATGCAGCTTGAATAACAACAGTGTGGTTCAGTATGAATTCCCCACTTGTGTCACAGTCTGGTGGGAGGAGGGGAAGAAGACGAACGGAGGAGCAGAGCTTGGGGAAACCCTCGTACTTTTTTTTTTCTTTTTTCTTCTGTTCAGTAAAGTAGGAGTGTTCATATGCTCTGCACATGTTTCAAATTACAGAGCTCGTCGTGTTTTCTGGTGAGCCACGATCGAGCCTTTTAAAGGCATGAGACGGGCTGTTAGATCCCCTCACACTTACGCAGAGCGAACGGGGGTGAGGATGAGACATCAAGCTAGGAACAGCGCCAGGGGGCAAAAACACAACTTTTCTGATTAAAGTTTTAGTTGCGTGTGCACGCACAAACAAAATATGCCTCTACTGCACCGCAAAAAAAGACAGAGCTCTGTTCCTCTGCAGAATGGTCCTAATATTTAATAAGTGGCGCCTGGAGCAATGCGATTTGCGCTGTACGGAAATGCATTCACTGGGTATGCAGACACATTACATTCTCCTATGAGCGCACCAGTTCAGTCACATTAAGTAACCCCTTTAGTTTCTGGAGGCACAGGTCATGCTTTCACACAGTCAACAGATTTGAATGCATGGTACTCAGCATCCAGCAGGCCTCAGTCTGATGCACTCGCTCCGTGTACAACTGCTGTAATATCAGATTCTTTTACGATATGCACACACTCGCTGACCCGCACTGAGCTGAATCACAACAGCAGAGATCCAAAGCTCTCACTGCTTCCCTTTTATGACTCTGGACTGACAGTTATGGACCGAAAAGATATCTTAGTGGAGAGCGGGCGCTGTCAGTGCAACCAGATGCTTTCTGAATCTGCACAAACACTATGGATACCCATTTACCAATCACAGCATGTTAATGCTGGACGATCAGCCTCAGAGAAGCAAGATCAAGGCTAGTCTGCCCGCACTGAAGTCAGTGGTCTGAATACTAAGGCCACAGTTTATCATTACTCAAGCAGGACAGATATCCTGGCTAACGCTGTGATACAGGAACCAACAGAGGAAGTTCTAGTGCTCACAATGCACTAGTTTTTTTCCGCTGTATGCCTCATGACAGTACAAGGATAAGATTTGTCTATTGAGTGCAGATTCTCACAGCCACTCATGGTCAAAAACCTTGCAAGATCATACAAAGTTCAAATATAGAGATTTTCAAGACGTTTTCAGTCAGGTTTATGGCATCTGACAACTGTCTGAACTTAACTGTCAAAATCATACTCCATGCCAGTTAAAACAAACACTTAGTGAGTGGACAGGGACAGCAGTGGGTCTACCTGTAGTGTGATGTGGAAGGGATAAATATCTAGATTAACACAAACTGCGACAGTTAACCACCACTGAGACTTGTGAGCCTGAAAATTGCTCATCGCCACATTAATCAGCGATGAGCACCTTGTCAGCTGTGGATCTCTACTGCTGCCTCCACGTTTGTCCTCACCAGGTACATACCATGCAACACTGGCTCCCCACCATTCAGAGGCTCAGCGAGGGTCCCCAGATGGAGGCCCCGCTGAGCGCTCACTCTGCTGGTGTTGACTACTTGTCAGACCTCCCCAAGAGAAAATAAAAACTTCTTGAAAACTCTTTCATATTTTTTCTGATGCACGACATAAACTGAGCACCACCACAGGGAACTCAGGGGTGTGTGCACATGTGTGTCTGCACATCAGGACCGTAAAGATCTTGGTTTGGCACCACCATGCCAAAGATGTCTGAATGTTGCAGTTAACTCCATGGTGAAATGTGTATTTCCGTGCGTCTGTGTTTGTGTCCTAAATGAGAATACTGATTACAGTCCCGTGGTACCAAGAAGAGCCCAAACAGTGATTAGGCTGCTGATCAGATGAGATGCTGAGGAAGGCGTTTTGGCTGGTCTAGAATAACTGCACAGTCTGCAGGGAGCGGTCCAGCACTGCTTCGCTCATTCATTAACTTCAGCAGCTTGAAGCCAGGAGGAAAGATTTCATCCAGATACCCACAACATCACCGGCACGGAACCCACACACCCCGACACCCGGGGCACCATCACAAACATATGCAAATATGTTTGCCAGCGTGCGTGTACATCCATCTGCGGAGTGACACGTATGTGCCTCTGTTGTGTTTGCAGGTGGCGGGCGGGCGAGCGTGCGTGCGTGCACGTGCGTGTGCGTCCACCCGTCTGTTCACCAGCCTGTTTGTCAGCGGTAGTTGCAGAGCGACTGAGCGAAGCCCCCCCCCCACTCCCCCCACCCCTCACCCCCTGGCCGGCGCACAGCCACTGAAACGCTGCCTGAAATATTTAACAGCGTAGCAGCAGTCAATAGCACAGCAACCTTGGAATCAATGTCACACGGTTAAGAGGGGGAGAAAAAGAAAGAAAACGGGCATCGAGGACGGCCGGGAAGATGGGCAGATGAATTGGAGGAGAGAAAGAGGTGTGGAGGACGAGAAAGAACGCGAGAATAAATGGAGGGGCAGCAGGGGAGCGATAGAGATAAATGAAGGCTGGAGTAAAAGGGTGTGAGTCCCGAGTGCGCTTGCGTGTCTAACCATGTGCTGCATATACTGTACCCTGCAGCAGACAATCCCTCCCCACTGAAACGTGACTGTGTGAGTGTTTGTAGTGGAGAGGGTGGAGAGGGAGAGAGCGAGAGAGAAGAAGAGAGGAGGAAAGGATGGAGGGAAACGGAGAGAAGGAGGGAGAGGGGGGGTGATAAAAAAGAGAAAGCTGTGAGAGCGAGGGAGAGCAGGGGGAGGGAGGAGGTGAGGGGTAGACTTGCTGGGAGAGGAGGAGGGCGGGGGGAAGGGGGGGGGACTGCTGATCACTGCAGTAAAGGAATCCCTCGTCTAGAAAGGGGGGTTGCCCCTCTACTTCACCCTCCCACCCTCCCACCCTCACCCCTCCTCCATCTCTGTCTTACTCACAGTGAATCCTGATGTGCTGGTTTTGATCTTCTCGCAATTCTCATCTGCACTGCGCTTTAACTTCCACTGCATTTTTATCACCCCCCCTCCCACCCCACCCCTGTGCACGTGCACATTTTCCTTCAATTAAAAAAAAAAAAACAAAAAGAAAAACTCAATTTAAAATCTCTCTCAGTGGAGTAAATGCACTACAAGCAGGGAGCCAATAGATTACAGAGGATATACTGCAGGAGATGAAAATAAATTTGATACACTAGAGAAAATATAAGGCTTCTTAGTGGCAGCCCTTCCCTCCTCTCACATAACGTAGTAACTCAATGCAAAAGATATGATACTGATCTGTAGTAAAGATGAATCATCCTCATACAGTATGACTGTAACACAGACGTGCCAGGTTTCAGGAAAAAAGGTAGGAAAATAAAAACCCCCACTTTGCATTCATAGAGTAAAACCAGGGGAGGGAATTCGACACACACAACCTTTGAGAGGGAAACTGCTGCAGCTCTGCCAACTATCAATATCTCCCCTACGTGCAGCCGCTTCCCTTTGCTGTGTTGAATTCCAGCAACATAATGGCATTCTTGTTCTCATTTCAGTCCAGATTATGTATGAAATTTGCAAGATTTATGAGCCTCCTCCTCTTCCTCCTCCAGCTCAATCACAAAGATTCATAAACTTGTTAGCGGAGCTGCTTTGAGGGTGGGTTAAAACTACTACCACTGTTGTTCAGCCCAAGAAAAACTTAAGAAACAGAGAGTTATTTTTGGAGTTCTGCGCAAGCGTCAAAATGTATGAGGTCTTAAATTAATTTTAATTTTACCCACTGTGCATTCCAAACATTTTTCATCAGACGTACCCCCCACCAGCGCCACCTGTCATGTTCACAATGTGCTGATTTCCACTGATCCTAAACTGGTTGTTACTTAAACCTAAACATAAAAGTGAATATACTGTTGGCCTACAATACTGTTTTCATACATACAGTCTAAGCTGTCAATTGAGCTATTCCACCATCTCTCCACATGTATGGCCCGCTGCTTCTTTTAAGCTTTGTGGTTGTGGCTGGATCGGATCTGAACACACAATGACACAGCAGTTTAAAAAATCTCTTCTTCCTCAGAACATATCCTTTTATCTTCTGCACACCGCAGGGAAATTCTGGGTGCCAAGCATGGCATAAATTGTGTGTGTGTGTGTGTGTGTGTGTGTGTTACAGACACCCAGCACAGAGGAATAATGTCTCTGATATAATTCCCATTTCATGGTGCCCCTCTGAGGGAGTGGGAACCTTTGTCATTTATCTACACAATGACTGCATCCATCTAGGTGGTAATGTGCTGTCCCGGGCCTCGGCTGCAGACCGGATAAGGCGGGTAGTCCCACAAAGTCATTCATAAAATCATTCATGGATACACAAACTCATGCATGTCAATAGAGGTGATACTATACACTCATTCAATGCATTACTGCACACATGCAGCTTAATTATCTTTTAATGTTGCTACTTATCAGACATGCTTAAAATCTTCTTTTTTTTTTTTTTTTCTCTCCAATTCCC